CCAAGGCCAGAGCTCTATCCACTGCACCATCTAGCTGTCCCAAGAAAAACCCTTTTTAAAGGACTTAGAAGCAAATATAAATTTATATCCAAGTAATTCAAAGATATAGTAATAACTGGTATTTATAGGTCAGCTATTATAAATTACATATTGATATATGATATGATTTTTTTCAGTTTTGCAAAACACTTTACATATGTAACCATATAATGTAGTTCTTATTATCCTCACTTTACAGATAAGGTGAAGGGAATAAGCATTTATTAAGCACCTACTATGTGCCAAGCATTATGCTAAGTGCTTTAAAAATATTATCTCGTTTGGTCCTCATAACAACCCTGTAAAGTAAGCTATTGTTATTCCCATTTTACAGCTGAGGAAAGTGAGGCAAACAGAGATTAAGTGATTTGCCAAGGGTCACAAGGCTAGTAAAAGTCACAGGCAGGATTTCAGCCAAAGTACATCTAACTCCAGGCCCAGCTATGCCAAACTGTATCCTATTTTTTACTTTTATTTACTCATTAGAACCTGTCTCCAGATGTGTACTATGCCCTATCAATATTCCATTATCTTCTGGTAGTTTCTTGAAAGTTATAAAACTGTATTCCTTTCCAGTTAGTCTATGATCCAGTGATTTCAATGATTCAAACAGGCCTTCTTCCAATTAACTGAGATTTTAAATGAAGGATATAATCCTCCTTGAGGCAATAAATTGTTGTGTGATCCCAATAGGAGTAAGTCTATTTTTCAGGGACTTTTCATTCACTTGGGTAAGCCCATTAATTCTATTCTAGATCCTTAAATTTCAGTACTTGTAGAAATTGACAAACAGGTCTCTGATCCAAATCAAAGTGAAAACCCTAATTATTTTCACAAAACAAAAACCATCATAAGCTTATTTTCATTAAAATACAAACATTTTGCAAATACCTACTGTATGCAGAGCATAATGCTAAGCACTAGAGGAGATTCACAAGATACAATAAGTACCCTTCCCAGAATAAGACAGATATTGATAACAAGATGCACGATATTTCATAAGTGCATTAGAGAGGTATAAAATAAAGTGTCACATGAGGCCATTAGATTGTAAGCTCCTTGAAGTTAGGGACTGCCTTTTGCCTCTTTTTGTATCCCCAGTGCTTAGCACATAGTAGGCACTTAATAAATGCTTAATGACTGACTGATGGACTGACTCGAGGAAAAGTTATTAGGAGATCAGGTAGGCTTCATGGAGGAAGTGTTATCTGAGCTATGCTATCAATAATGGTTAGCAATTCAGCAGTCAAAGATGATGGACATTCCGGTAAGTAGAAAGGAATGAGTTCAGGCATGGAGATAAGGAAGTTTAGTATGCTGAGAATAGTTCATTTACATAAGAGCATAAAGTCTGTAGAAAATAGAAATCTCAAATAAGTTCTAAAAGGTAAAGTGTCACCAAATTACAGAGAGACTTAAATGTCAGACAAAGAATTGGGAACTGCGCTTAATGAGAAAGCCCTATTTTTCAATGGGAAATCCTTCCATTGAAGATTTCTGAAGAGAAGATGGAAATGACTAGGTATATGTTGCTGCTGTTGCTGTTTCTCCTTCATTTTTCAAAGAGGACTATTATCTCAGGAAGATGGTGTCATGACCTGCAAGTGAATTGGGTTTAAGTGAGGGAGGGCTGTGCCAAGTCACCAGCTTCATTGTCTCCTCCAGAGCCATCTGGGTCCAGTGGCCAGATATAGATGAAGACAACTGGAGATGGCCCCCAACTAGACATATGGCAGTGATGTGAAAGACTCATTAGAAGGGAAGAAAGTGTAGATGGAAACACCCACCAGGGTGGACACAAGGGTCCAGGCAGATGAGGGTAAACGGGGATCTGTAGTAGGGTAGGTGCAAAGAGAGTCGATATTAGTGAAATGGAATCAAGAAGAGGAGGTGGCTTAGAGAAGAGATAAAAGAGAAGAAAGGACAGGAGAGGAGAGGAGAAAAGAGAAGAGGAGAGAGAAGAGGAAGGGAGGAGAGGGGAGGGGAGGACAGAAAAGGCCAGGAAAAGGGAGAGTAGAGAAGGAAGTGTCAAAAATAATACCAACCGTTTCATAGGATCATAGGATTTGAAACTAAAAGGGACCTTAGAGATCATATAATCCAGTCCCTGATATAGAGTAAACTACTGGCAGAGTCAGAGCATGGACTCCAAAGAAGGAATAGTTTTAACAAAAGACAAGTTTCATTTGGGAGCATGTGGAGTCTAAGGTTCCAGTGGAATATCCAGGTAGTGAGATCCTAAAGCTAGTATTTCTGTAATTTAGCTGAGATGTGCTTGTGGTCATTGGATTGAGAATGTCTTGAACCATATCCATTGACTGGAACTCTCTCTCCTCATCTCTCCTTCCTTATTTCCCTGGCTTCCTTCAATTCTCAGCTAAAATTCTACTTCCTGGGGCAGCTAAGTGGAGTAGTGGATGGAGCACTGGCTTTGGAGTCAAGAAGACCTGAGTTCAAATTCAGCCTCAGTCACATAATACTCACTAGCTGTGTGACCCTGGGCAAGTCACTTAATCCCAATTATCGTGCAAAAATAAAATAAAATAAAATTCTACTTCCTACAAGAAACCCACCAAAATCCCTTTCCATTCTAATGTCTTTCTTCTATTGATTATTTCCAATTTATCCTGTATACTTCTTGTTGGTATATGGTTATTTATATGCGTTTCCCTCGTTAGACTGGGTGCTTTATGAGAGCAGGGACTGTCTTTTGCCTTTCTTCACATTGCCTTTCTCGGCACAGTGCCTAGAAACATTGTGGGTGCTTAATAAATGTTTATTGACAAACTATTGCCTGACTGACAAATCCTAGATGACAGAATCACAGGATTGGAGAGATGGAAGACCTCTTTAATTTTACAGGTGGGAAATTGAATCCCAAAGTAGTTGAATTACTTTCCCAAGATTACATAGCAAAAGCAAGCTGTGGTTCAGACCTAGCCTGACACTCACTTTCTCTCTTCCATACCACTTTGAATCTACTATATCATAACCCAGAATGGTCATCAAGACCGTTGAATTAGTTATGGCAATGATGTCTGGCACGACCCAATTATTTCAAGCACATGCAATGCTTCAATACCTGTTAATAGTGTGTGTCCAGGTTATTTGTGCATGTCTGTTGTGTGTGATTCCTCTACTAAACTGTGAGTTCCATGAGGTCAGGGTCTATGCTTTATCTAAACTTTGTTTCTTTTCCAGCACGCTCTGTACAAGAAAGCGTTCTTCAAGACAAAGTCCAAATACCACTTTCAACATGAAGACTTTCCCTCATCTCCACAACTGCTAATGTCTTCCCTCCCTAATTACCTTGTATCTATTACATATTCATTCAGCATCTATGTGTTTATTCCTTATATACTTATCTATAGATATTTTGTTTCCTCTATTAGAATGTAGGCTCCTTGTGAGTAGGTGACTAGCACATAGTAGGTGCTTAATAAGTGCTTCCTCATTGATTGATTGAGAGATAATAAATATGTCTTCAATAAATGAACTTCATCCAACTCTTACGTTAGAGATAGTGAAAGCTACCTTGGCTATATTTTTTTTTAATTTCTCCAGTGAAATCTATTATCATCTTACAATACACTTGTGTGCCTCAGTTTATGCCAGAAAAGTTGGGGTGGCAAAAATAATCCCTTGGCTACCTAATTGTGTGATTATAGGTACAGGTACAGTAGTGAGTTAATATCTGCAAAGCTCTGTGATTCTCTGCAGAAACATGCTCCACAAATGTAAGCTATTAGAATTATTCATATTATCAATAAATCAACTTGGTCCAGATTCTTACCTAGTAACTTCCATCCACAAAAAGTTTTGAACATCTATCCATTCCCTTGATAGTTTATGTTTAAAATTTGCATAATGGGTTTATTTTAATTAGTTTACACTTCATTCTGAACATTTTTGGAAGTCTCCTGGGCAGTTTTTTGGTCCCTTTACTGTCAGAGTGGTTACTAGATTTTCCTGACAGCAATAAATTAAATACTGTACTATTTCTTCGTAAGTGGACTCAGGTTTGGCTGCACTGACTTTCCTTAACTTTAACTGGAAAAGAAGCTTACCTGTTTATGCACATTCCGGGAAAACTGCCTTGGGTCAGATTTTGCTCACTAAAATAATTAGAGGTTGTTTTGATTTAATTTGATGCTCTGCTCGCATTAAGAATTCAAAATGCCTCAAACTGTCTTTTGAATCATTATTGTATTGTGAATAAATGAAGAAAATCAGGAATCACAAAACTTCAGAGTTGAAAGGGACCTAAAATGCCGTCCAGTCCCCAAACAAGACTTCCCCAACAAATGAACATCCAGTCTTTTCTTAAAGATCTCTTTCTACTGAGAGCCAACCTTCTACTCCCCAAGCAGCCCATTTCACATTGGTATAGTTCTTAATTGTTAAGGTTTTTCTCTTTGCATCACAATTAAATTGGCTTCTCAGCAATCTATCCATTGCTCCTGTTTCTGTCTTAGACACCAATCTAAATAAGGAGTCAGTGTGGCACAATGGAAAGTACTTTGACTGTCAAAGAACCTGGGTTCAAATTCCACCCTTGATGTTTTACTCTCTGTATGACCTTGGACAAGTCACTTGACCTCTATGGACTTCAGTTTCCTCTTTTGTAAGACGAGGGGATTAGACTAGAGAGTCTCTTTGGTCCCTTCCACTCTATATCTCTAAGAATCCTCTTCCATATGACTTGAAGACAACAATCATGTCTCATTCTCTCCTCATTGCTTTCATCTACCCACAGTTTCTTCTCTCTAAGCTAAGCCTACCTAAATCCTTCAATGCGTCCTCAGTACGGAAAAGACATCTGTCCAGGTTCTGCCTTTCATAGGGATTTGGCAAAGCTCGATTATGGTAAAAAAAAAATGTTGAAGGCCAACTACATGAGAGAGAAAAATATTCTTCTGGTCAGTTGAATTCCACTGAATTATTTTTTTTACTCTTTATAGATGTACAGCAATGAAACAAAATATAACTACTCCAAGAAGTTCTAATTACACAGAAGGCCAGAGAAAATCACAGGAAGATATGCTCCTGGGATATTCACAACCATAACAGGTAAGGTTCCTGAGAACACTTTGATGACAGCTTTTCTATTGTCTGCAATTATTCTGAATAGGATCCATACTGTTTCTTTACAAAGGGAGGTAGGGGAGTCACTTTCATGACACAATCATTTATAGCCCACACTAGATCTTCTCTAGGTAAACGGAATGAAGAACTAAGAAAATTAATGAATAACTCAAAGGAGTGAGGAGAGAAGGAAAAAAGGTAATTTTTCCTTTTTTTTCTCCTTGAGGCAAGTGATTTTTTTTGCTTGAAATACTTGGGTAACTGATTCAGTTCTTCATGATGCTTTCACCACTTTGGAATTGTTAAATAGGCCTAAATGACATCTCACTGGGGAGTTCAAATTCATAGTGGAATTCTAATGTTAGACCTGAGTAACCCTGCTTTTGACAAGTTAAAATAATACTCTGAGTTGGAGGAAATTGTGCCTTATTTAATTAAGTTATTGGCAATATTGACATTACTGACAAATATCTATAGCATAGCACCGAGAATTACTTAACTTGTCCAGTATGGATAGGTGGACCAACCTTTCAAGCACACTAGATTGGCCTTATCATTTCCTTTGGTTGTCTTTAAACAAGTAAAATATACATAGTGTTTATTTCCTTGCAAAAAAGCAAATCATCCTGTTTGTTTTTTCGATCAGTGTAATTCAGCACAGAAATAGTTGGATCCAGAGTGTTGAGCCCCTGTACAAAATAACTGTAATAGAGCTAAATGTTTTCTCTCCCTTTCATTCCAATGGAAAGTCTCTTGTCCTAACTGTGAGTTACCATTTGGAAATCCTGAGTGTTGCCATAGTCAGTAGACACAGGGACACGTGCCCACATTAAGATAAACAGAGGCCAAGTTTTCAGGCAATAAATAATTAAAGCAAGAATGTTTGGAGACAAACTACCCATAAGACCATAGAACAATGAAGTTGCGTAATCCAATCTCCTCCCCACAACACATACACACACACACACACACACACACACACACACACACACACACACACTTGAAACCTGAAGCTCCTTTAATAATGTCCCAAAACATGGTATCCTAGTCAGGCAAAAGAAGACCTCAGTGACTGAGGTTGTGTATATCATATCTGGATTTGACTTGGACTTCCTCACCTCCTTCTTGGTTACCCTTTGTAAACCTTTTTCAAAGGGTATGATTTCTGAGCCCAGAATTACTGTACAAAAGTATGGGTGAGGAATACTACCAATTCATCAGTTTTAGCATTACTCATGTTCACACAGCATATGCAACTGTCCACGTTTTCACCAACCATGAAAATTATGTCCCTAACATTGGGGACATGGGCAAACACAGGACCTCTACGAAGAGCAACAGATAATAATTTCAACTGAAATCCTCAAGCCAAATATACTTTACCTTTGACCAGTTGCCTTTGATTTCAACTACAACAGGAATTGAACTAATCTATATAACACCAAGACAACTGAGCCATTTTCAGGTCAAACCCATCAAATAAATATCTGGTCAATTTATTTGGAGGAAAATGGAAAAATTAGACAAACTAGTTATTTGGATAAATTGAACTATTTCACTCAACTGATAAGTCCTGGAGTTGAAGTTGGAAGGATCTTTAAAGGCCACTTAGTCAAACCCCAGCACTTTGTAAGTAAGGAAACAGAGGCTCAGAGAGGCTTAGTCACTTGCCCAAGGTCACACTGATAGTAAGTGGCAAAGTCAAGATTTGAACTCAGGTCCTCTAATTACAAATTCAGCTCTATTCTCGCTGTACCACGTTATGTCCATTCAGACCAGTTAATCATGTATATCTGTGGACAGATTATGAGCCTGCTGCTGCAAAGATAGAATCCATCTGTTATGAGAGTAAAGTTGGTCTCAAATGAAAGTACTATGGGCAGCAATTTCTAACAGATTCTTTTTGTATGTTCTTGTAGCAGTTCTCAGTGTGCTTTCATTCACATGGGGAGCTTCTAAGTAAGGAAATTCCCTCTCTGAAACTGAAAATCTTAGAGAACTATCCAGTGCACTGAAAGAGAGTCGGGGAAGGGAATAAGCATTTATTAAGTGCCTACTGTGTACCAGGCATTTCGTGTTCTTAGTGATTTACCAATGTTCTCATTTGCTCCTCACAACAACCCTTTGAGGTAGATGCTCTCATTAGTCCCGATTTGCATTTGAGTGAACTAAGGCAGATGGAAGTTAAGTGACTTGTCCAGGATCACACAGCTACCAAGTGTCTGAGGCTACTAAGTATCTCAGGTCTTTCTGACTCCAGGCCCAGCACTCTATCCCCTGTGCCATCTAGCTAATTTGACCAGAATCACAAAGGCAATATGTGTCAGAAATGGTTATTGAACCCAGGTCTCCCTGGTTTTGAGGACAACTCTCTCATCACTACAGCACACTGCCTCTGTTGACGGAGATATGAACAAATACCTTATATGACCCAGGGGTTCTTCTGAGAAAACATCCCTTGCTTGGTCAAGGATGCTCTGACTGATTCATCTCTCCCCTCTACAAGGTGAATGTGGAGTGAGAGGCCCAGAGTGGAGCCCAGATGGGGCTAGGAATCATCTCATAGCCCAACTGATCAAGCATCTTGAGACTGAGAGTTAGGGAGTAGGAGACAAAGAGAAATGGTTTTACCACTGGAGAAAAGAAGACATGAAGGAGGAATAAGAAAATGGTCTACACTTCTATTATCCTGATGCTTGCTCCCCAGTCAGTGTTCCTGATATCTGCAAAATGGCCCTTGCGCCACCTGTATGAATAAGAATAGAATCACATAATCATAAGCTATTCAAATAGAATCATAGAATAGCATCTTCAAGCTGGAAGGGATAACCTTAAGGACCATCTAGTCCAGCCCCTTCATCCTAAACCTGAGTAAACTGAGGCCCAAGGAAATTAAATGACATTCAAGGTCACATAACTAAGAAATTATGAAATATACCTATTAAAGCACCTTCTAAAATTTAGAGCACTCTATGTCATTATCATTCTCATTATCAATAGAGTTGGGATGGGAATCTAGGTCTCTTCTCTCCTTATCCAACGTTCCTTTTCCTTTCATCTTGTGTCTCTTTGATTGGCATCAAAGCCATGGCATAAGGGGAGAGAATGCAGAATTTTGGGGTCAGGAAGACTGGGTTTGAATCTCATCCCAGACATTTACTAGCTGTGCGACCCTGGGCAGGTCACTTAACCTCTGTCTACCTCAGTTTCCTTATCACAGATGACATAAACTCTGAGGTGCCTCTCAGCTCTTAATCTATGACTGTCTAAACATATCTCTGTTCCCATAAAAACTCTAACAATGTCCCTCAAGACCAAACAACGAGCAAGGAGCATATTCTCTGATCCCTCATCCTGTTATCATACCTGGTTTTATTTATTATTATGTTATTCTTACGTAATAATTATTATATTACCTATTATTATTATATTATTTATTATGTCTTTCACTTTAGAAACTCAAAGCACCCCACCAAATTTAAGTTACCCCACTCCAGGTGAGACAACCAATTGGAAAATAATTCCCAAAATGACCAGTAACAACATAGCTATGTCAAATATTCTGTTCTTCAGCCTATGAAGCTGATGTTTACTATCATGGATAAGGTTGGGTGTGAGAAAGGCAAGGTTGTGTTGTGTGAAGAGTTCTAGACTTGGAGTCAGGAGAGGCTTGTATTTGAATACAGCATCTTAATAGCTGTGTGACAATGGGCACAGTCACTTAATAATAACTGATATTCATTTAGGATTCTAAAATTTGTAAAGCACTTTATTATATATCAAATCCCTTCACCTTCACAACAACCTCATGAAATAAACACTTTAGGTATTACCACCATTTTTAAGTGAGGAAACCAACTCTCATTGAAATTAAGTGACTTACCCATGGTCACACTACAATTGTCAGAGGTGGAATTTGAATCCAGGTATTCCCCACTCCCTAACAGAGAACTCAATACATTATTTCACATTCCTTCTCCAACTTAACCTCTCTGATTCTTCTCCTCCTCATATGTAAAGTGGGGGCAATGCTACCTAAATTACTGGGTCATTGTTGGGATCAAATGAGCTAAAGGTTTCCAGGCTCTTTGCAAACCTTAAAGTGCTTGTATAAATGTCAGCTGTCACAAGTAGTCTATACAGGTTTGTAATTTTCTTACTGGTTTATTTATACATTGATTTATTTATATTCATTCATATTACTGATTTATTTATATTCATACTCCTGCTAATTCTTTTTTACAGAGATAAAAGATCTCATATTGTGGTTGCATCAGGTGAACTAAATGAACACATTTTAGAGGAAGATTGTGTGAAAAAAAAAGCCACATCATTGAACAGAAATCAACTTTACAGGAAAAAATATTTGATTTTGTGGATCACCTCTTCATGCCTGTCCAGACAATGCAAGGGAGTAAGAAGTACACAGATGGACTCAGTGACTCTTCAAGCATTGGGAGTGTCTTGGATGATGCAGATAGAGAAGTCAGCAATCTCACAGACCGAGCCTTTAGAAGTTTGTGCATTTCAGAGGATACATCCTTCAATGACTCTAATCTTGTCATTTCACCCGATTTTGCCCAGCAGTTTTTTGGTAGCTTTCAACAGGGAACAGGCAGCCATACCATCAAGAAAAGCAACCTCTGCAATAGGATACAAGCTCATGGAAATGAGCATGCAAGCTGGGCATCTACATTCCAACAGTTGCCCAAATATGTCCAAGGAGAGGAAAGATCCCCCAAAAGCAACACACCGCCACCAGTCACCACACGGAGAAAACTGGAGATTCCAATTTCTGGTATGAGAAGTAGTAAACCTGTCTCCAAAGTATCTTCATTAATTAAATCTTTTGATAGGACAGAAAATCTGGGCACTGACAGTATGCCTCCCACCAGCAAACAGTCTGCTCTAAAAAACCCTCTAAAATGTGTACCTCTGCCAGGAAGTGGTGTGAATTTTTGCATGGATTCAGCTTTTTTAACTGTCAGGAAGGTACCTGCTGAAGTTTCCAACACATATCAAAATACCAGTTGGCCTGGTGGCAGGCAAGGGACACCAAATTTACCAAGTACTAATGACTTAACACCTAGTGTTGATGGTTTTCAATCAGCCTCTGTGGATGCTTCCAAGCCATTTGAATCAAATATCCATCTTCCACCAACAAAGACAGCAAAGGGTAAGACTGGAAAACCTAATGAACGGACAAGCAAAGGGAATTTTCTTCATAGTGAAAACAGTGCTTTTGAGTCATGGAATGCACATCACAAGAAACTGCTTGAGAGGAAGGAAGCCAATGAACTAATGCCAGAAGTCAAACCTCCCTCAAATTATGAGGAAAACCCACCACCACTAAGAGAACTCCACCCAAGCAGACATGAAACATCACCTTGTCATACCAGAGTGCCCATGAATCCAGAAGACAAAGCTCTGGTGGCAGGGACTCCATCCACTTCTGTATCCCAGGTGTCTAGCATTCAATCAGTTCCTGAATCCCAAAGCTTTGCCATGGAGGAGAAGGCTCCCAGTTCAGAGCTCAAGGCTCAAGTGGAAACTTCACGAGTCCCATGGAGGAGATCAAAAATCAGCAAAGGAGGAAAAGAGAGAACACATGAGCCTTCAAATGAAAAGAAGACCAATGGGACAGTCCCACCTTTGTATAAAAGGCCAGATCCTACAGGAGAGTTTCCTGAAAATGATGCAATAGAAGAACAAGTAAACTCAAATGAATACTACGATCCTCCTTTTAACATCAGTAAGCTTTTGACACCTGTCATACCAACAAAGCATGTTCTAGACTCATTAGAAAATCAGTCAGAGTTGGCAACACTCCCTCCCCCAGAAAAATCAGTGGGATCAAATGAGCAAGAAGGACTTCATGAATATCAATCTAGAGACAGTTATAAGTCAAAAGTGCCCAGTTTGTTGTTCAATCTCAAAGATGTCCGAAAACGAGTCAAGAGTACCTACAGTGCCTCTCCTCTCCTAAAAAGCCATGATGAGAAAACAAAAGCTAGGGATCATATCAAGCAAGAAAATATAAGCAATGGCACTTTTATGTCCAATGGAGCTGAAGAAATTCCCCCACACATGTCAACCAAAGACAAATTGAACCACCAACCCTACATCAATACCAAGGAGGACCACAAAGGAGATATTAATGGAGACTTCACAGATAATTACCTAACTCTTAGCTCATCTCAGACTATAGAAGAACCCTCCTTCTATGTCAATGGGGAGACTTCAGAACAGAATGATTTCAAAAATTATGACCTAGATATCAAAGATCCTAGGAATGGTGAAATGGACTCTCAGCAGTATCACCACCAAGCAACTGAACACAATTTAAGGAAAAGTCAGCCTCACCTCTCCTTGAAGCTTTGCAGTAGAGATCTAGAGGATGGAAAAGGTGAAGAGAAACTGAGTATTCACCACCTTGAAAATGGATTACCAAGATCTATTTCCCAAGAGAACAACCATGAGAGAGATGTAGGATCACAGAATGCCAGTTTCAGTCAGAAAATCTCACCAGGTCCACTTTCCCCAGAGGAAGAAGATGTGTTCTATAGTGACACCCAGTCTGATTTCATGCCAAACCTCAAAAGCAAGGCCAAAATAAGCACTAGTTCTTCAGACCAATCTTTTGCCTCATTTGAGGATCAGCAGAAAACATGGTTTACAGAATGCCAAAGGGAAGATAGAAAGAGTAGTGTGAGCCTAGAGGAAAGTCAGAAAGTTGAGAAGAAAGAAAAGGGTCTAAGAAAAGATGATTTGCAATACTACGCTTTAAGCAATGGCTTTGCTAGTGTTGAAGACAGTAACAAGGAGGAAATGTTTCAGAGAGAAGGTGAAAGCATGTCCAGAGATAGAGTGATGATTGAGTCAAAGGAAGAAGCCAATTGCAGAGATGTTTGGTTAGGAGAAAATAAGAATACTTCTTTTCCTGATAGCAAAGATCCTCCATTATCACCTTCCCCAAATTCAAACAAGCACATTCTGTTTACAATCAAAGACAATACCTTCAAATCCTCTCCAGTGATCAAGCCCATCATACTGCCCCTACTGAGGACTTCATCCTCAGAAAATACTCACAGTAATAGCCAGAGAGAAGTAGAGAGTCGATTGGCAGAACTTGGAGAGAACACTCACCTCTACCAGCTGGAATCCCAAGATATACCAGATGCTCAAAAAACTGGCCAGCTCTCAACATCAAGCAGTCAACCTGGTGTCTGCAATCAAATCTACAGGAGCATGAGTGATAGTGGACAGGTTTTTGGATCAGTAAAGATGGAAAATGTCCAGCCGACATCAGAAGCCACTCTTCCGGAAGATGACAGCAACCCCCCATTCTTCCCATATATGAAAGATAGTGATGGTGTCAGACACACTCAAAAGTTATTAAATAAAGTTGTGGGAAATGATCTTGAAAATGATTACAAGAATAAAGAGGAACCTATCACCTTAAGAGTCAAACCTACCATCATTTTGCCAAATGAAGATTCTGGGAATCAACCACCAGCAAGCCAAGTAAGAGGAGCCCGTTCAGAAGAGAAAATTCAATATTCTAGAAACCTCTTATTGTCCACTCCCAGGGAAGGATCTTTGGTGAAAAATAGAGCCCCTGCTGAGATGATGAACTCACCTATAGCCAGCTCCATAGTAGATAGCAACGTTTATTCCCCTGCAGCCAGCACCACATTGGATGATGCACAACAAGGTCCTCTAGACTCAGGTATATCGCAGGGAGATTGGCCAAACTCAGCCCTAGCAACCCCCTTGCCCAGCACATGTTCCAGCATAACCCGCCTAGGATCAGAGAGAAAGGCTGGTGTCAAAACAGCAAGGGAAGATATTACACATGCTGTGGTACCAAGTACAGGGGGTAACCCCCAATTTGATTCATCTGCTGAAGAAACCATGGCTTTGTTTACACGGGACGCGTTGTTGGAGGAGACTAGCAGCTGGGCAGCTCCCTATGAGAGACCACAGTCCACCGTTCACATGGAAAAGTCAATGAGCAAACCACCAGCTGTCCCACCAAAAACTGAAAAAGCCCTAAGACGCGCAAAGAAATTGGCAAACAAAAGGAAAAAGATGGACCTGCAGCAAGAGAAATTGTCTGAAATCCAAGAGGAAAGCCCTCAGATGGAAGGTGCAGATGTGATTTGGAAAAGGCCTTTGTCCCCTGCAGAGACTTCACAGTCCAACTTCCCCAGAATCCGTTCCCTTCCACCTCCTGTTCACCGGCACTCGGTGGCTACACTCTCTGAGTCCATTAGGAGGAGGCCTAGTGGTGCTCAGTCAGTAATCCCTATGTCCACCTACCCTGCCACCCAGAAGAAAGTCCTCCAGGATCCTCAGTCTGGAGAGTACTTTGTGTTTGACCTACCCCTCCAGGTGCAAATCAAGACATTCTATGACCCAGAGACCGGCAAGTATGTCAAAGTATCCATCCCTTCCTCTGAAATGGGCTCCCTTGAAATCCCCTCTTCAGAAATTTTAAATTCTCCTTACTTGGTGTATCCTGGACTCCACCCCCTACCAGTGACTTCTTTAACACCTCTGAGGTCCTCCTCACAGCTCTCAGCACCCACTTTTCTAAGGCAGGAGCCTCAAGCCAGGGAATCAGAGGCCCACCGGCTCCAGAACTTCAGAGATGCCAAACACCCACGTCCTCAGTCGTATGCTGAGCCTGTACATAATTCTGCAAATCATCACACAGAAGAAGTTCCACAGAGCTTAGAAAAGGACCGGAGCGAAGCTCAAAATTTGGACATCATTTCCATCGATGATTTAGAGGACTTTGCTTCAGAAGGGATCTCTTGAAAATTAAAGTTACTAGCAAGCCTCTCCACTTTCATCACCCTCCCCCCAAAAAAATAAAACACACCCCTCTCCCAGAATAATTTTACATATATTCAGGTATCTCCTTGAACATCCTTATTTGAATATGGCACCTATTGCAAAATTTAACACTGGGTTGTTTTTTAAGAACAACTCAATTGAAGGAGTTGGTTTACACTCCCAGCTCTCAAAAAATCTAACTCTGGGTGAATGCAAAACGGCCAGTCTGTGAGAAGGGTAGTGATTGCATGAAACAACCCCACCACCACCATCTCTCCTCTCTTTCCCTTCTCCTCTCCCACCCACCCTACTTCCCTGCTGCCACCCCCACTGCTGCTACTGCTGCTAATGCCACCAAAAAGAGAGGATTCATCCCCAAGAAATCCTCTCATTCAGGGTTGAAGTCATCAAGGGGGAAATCTGATGCTCCACTTGAAGAATGTCTGTTTAGATATCCTCCCCCATTCTCTTCCCTTGCTAAAAGGGAGGCAACTTCCAACTCTGCCCAGGGATGTTGCATGGACACTCCCAAGTGGGTTTGGTTGAGAGTATTCCTTAAACTTCAATCGGTCAGATATTGATCATGCTCCCCCCCCCAAAAAAAGACAAAAACAAAAATGAAACTTTGTGATTACTCTGCTGTGGTTTATAATACAAAAAATAGTAAATAAATCCTATATCTTGTTTGCAACCCAGCAGCATCAATTTCATGTAGATAAAGAGTTCCCTATAGGTTCCCAGATCACTTCCACTGTCCTGAGCATCTTGGGCTGAATTCCATGTAGCTGGAAAACTCTTGACTGAAGACCCAAACTGGAAGACAGTTTAAACATTTATTTGGGTAAAAAGAGGTATTGTTTATATAATGAAGCATTCTTCTACAGGTCATCCTCTGAGTTTAAAAAAATAGCTTTTTTTAAATGGGGCAAAAAAAAGTTGGTAGATGTTACTCTTATCTTTGGCCTTCTTGTCATTTATTGAGAAAAATGATGAAATGAAGCAGCCAGCCAAGGCTGCTGCTGCTGCTGTTTCAGGGCCATGGACGACTTGTTTTTCTAATACCCATAGTCACTTGACAACAACTCCCACTGGCCCTTGGCTCATGATATGAGTCTACCATGTAAATATGGCCCCATGAAAACCTCATGTGGCCATACAAATAGAATTCCATGCTGTGCATGGTACAATGATCATTGAGCGGTTCAGCTTTGAAACATCTCAGGTCCGCCTCCTAGAACTGGTCTGTTCATTTATTTCCCAAGCTTTGATTGAGGTCAGAACCAATTGGACTCCCTTAACAAAGCAGAACTGCTTTATTGAGACACCTGCTGTTGGTTGTACAGTGATTTCCCAACACACTTCCCTATTTTGCATGAGTAAACTGGATCCCTCAGATTTAGTAGTAAATATCTGAATCAAACGAGAGAGAGAGAGAGAGAGAGAGAGAGAGAGAGAGAGAGAGAGAGAGAGATTGTGACTCAGACACCTATATCTTTAAGGGCAGTTAGGCTTTGTGGATAAATTTATACATGCATAAAAAAAAACACTATGGACATGAAGAATCTTAGCATGGCTTTCCTTTCTTCCAAGCACTGAAATGTGGATTAAACAAATGAACAAATTACTTCCAGACCATACTTTTTATTTAACTGAACGTGACTCAGGCATTCTTCTAGAAGCTTCTTTCCTGTCCTTATGGAGTGAAGATTTCTGAAACAAGGGGAAGATGTTTTCGGTTATTTGGTAAAGCCACTGTCTGCCCACGTGGAAATGGGAAATAAGAAGAGATATAGATACAAGCAGACTAATGAAAATCTATAGCAATATTCCCTAAGACCTCACAGATCTTAACAGAGAATTCTTTCCCAAGTATTCTAGGTGACTCAGAGCCTTCCACAGCAAACCCTAGCATCAGTTATGTTTCTGCAAGTTAGATCTAATTATAGATTTTTAACTGCATGCACATACACAATCACATTACAATATACTTGCTACAAATAAGTTGCTTCATTGAAAATAGCTCTCCCAATCTGAGTTTGAACTTGAGTCTTGTGTGAAGTAAAGTTTTGGTTGTTGTTTTTTTTTCCTAAGCATATAGAGATACACAGGAAGCCCATTAAATGAGGAATGGGACCTAGATGATTTGGCAGACTTTTTTTCCGTGATTGAGAGTGGTTTCCAGATCTAAAGACACCATTTGAACCAAACTTTCTTTGTTTTTATTTTTTGAGACTAAGTCTTGCTATCTGGCCCAGGGTGGAAATGCAGCAAACAGGCCTAATTTCACTATTAATTGGCAAGGAAGCTTTGACCTGCTCTGCTTTTGCCCTAGACCAGTTCATCTCACCTTAAGCAGCTTTGTGCATCCCTCCCCCACTCCTAGGGCTCACCATGTTGCCACCAGTCTGCTACAATATGAAATAGTAATCTGCATCAATTGAGGAGCCTCCTCCACTAATATAATTGTATAATCCTTGAAATATAGATATATGTATATATGTGATCGTTCATACTCAAGGTGCTTGAAAAACTGCTGCAGGATTAAAATGCCTTTTCTCTTGAGCTAAAGTGATCCACTGGCCTTAGTCTCCCCCAGTGGCATGAATTACAGGGATAAACCATGACCTAAGTCAACCCCACCACAATTTTTTATCCTTGCTCGAAAATGATATCTGGCAGGAATATCTGTAAGGTACATACAGAAAGTCTGCCAGCCAAAACAAAGCTTGCTCCCCTACTGCCAAGTCATAATGCCATTACTCCCTTGATTCATAAATTAGTGGATGGTCATTCCTTGAAGGACCACACTGCAACAGTTTGGAATGAATCAGTAAAACAGGTCATTTTTGCTGAGTTGGCTCCCATTGGGAGGCAGCCCAGTGTGGTAGGAAGAGCACTTGGTTTGGATACAGAAGATCTACATCAAAATCCAATTATCTGTCACTTGTTAGCTGCATAGTCTTGGATAATTTATTTCATCTCTTGGTGCATCTGTTTCGCCATCTACAAAATGGAGGGATTGGACTGAATGTTCTGTAACTTCTCTTTCAGTCCTAAAAGCCTGTGATTTCATTTAGCTTCTTACCATAAATTTTATTATAATTTTAATTTTATATTTATTATAATTTTTATTATAATTTTCCAATTTGTTTCCTAATAAGTCTTGCATGTTTAAAAATTCTTAAAGAATCATAGATTTAAAGATAGAAAGGAATTTAAACATCATCTAGTCCAGTTTCCTTCATTTGATAGATGATGAAACTGAAGTCCAAAGTGATTTTCTCAGAGTCTTATCAGTAATTAACCAGGTTTGAACTGCCTCCCAATGAAATGAATTTTCAGAAGGAATGCCTATCCCCTCCCAATAAAGTTTATACTACTCTTTTTGTCTAGAACAAAATAATAATTAGAGTCGTCTCCATATTGAGTGAGTTCAGAGGTAATGGGTTTCCCATTATTAGATATTTTCTTTTGGGAAGGGGGCAATATTACAAGAAAATCTCAAGAACGTGCAACATATTACCTATCAGACTATCCAGATTGAGGGCATTTTAAATTGGTACAAGGTTGGCTTCCATAGCTACATAAATACCCAAGGTCACACAAATAGTAAATATCTGAGGCTAGATTTGAACTCAGGTCCTCCTGACTCCAGGGCCAGTGCTCAATCCACTGCCCCATTACTAGATGTTATCAAGCAAATGCTGGTTGACTATTTGTCACCTATTCAGTAGTGGAGATAGGTCCAAGTTGGACAAGATGGCTTCTGAAGACCTCCTCCAATAATAGGATTCTGAGATTCTATGATTTCTTGTCCAAGAGTGTGACTGAGTCTATAGTTAATCAATATCTATGCAGGCTAAAAGAAATACAGAATTATAGAAATCACCTAAATAATTTTTATTTATAAATTTGGGCTACAGTGGCCTGGGTTGGGGAAGACCATAGCATGAATTATTCAGAAGGTGTGCTTATATTCATCAGTTTTACTAAATAGATGCTAAATTCTGCCTTTCACTTTACCCATGCAGATATAGCAATACTCACAATGTTTAATCAAGGATAACTTGTTTTTATAGTTTCCCTTCCCTTTGGGAGCCCTAAGTGATTATAAGCAAAATATTATCATTCCTCGTATCTCAATAAGATAGAGAAAAAACAGCTCTCCTATAAATGGCTCAAAGAAGTCACTGAGTCACAATTCAGTGGAAGAGTTAAGAATAGAATCAAGGTCTCTTCACTCAAGGCCAATGGATGTCAACTGAGTTTCTCTTGAAATGACCTTAATAGTTTGGTGCAAAAACTTCAAATTAATAATTCTAGATTGGTTTTACATAGAGATACATATGTATATACATTTATATATGTACACATATAAAGGTTGTATGTGTACATATGTAAAACCACTGTATGTATATTTACATCTATATGTACATATATATTTCCAATGATAACCTTCAAACACTAGGACCAAAGGAACTTTTGTTGTATATTCACCCAAGAAAATAAAGCACTTGGTGCATTTGATCAGAAAAGTGAATATGGCTAAAATTCTTAATTGTGAGCTATTTCTTTTTTTTTTTAAAAAGGTCATCTTATAGCATTTTAACCATTTTAAAATTTACAGAATTTCTAGGGTATTTGATCTTGTATCATTTTAACCAGTTTAAGTTTTACAGGGGGTTTTAGGGTTTTCATAAAGTGACAGAAATTAGAGAACAGACACAACCATGACTGTGATATTGGAGTTCCAGTGTGTGTTCAAAAAATGTCATTCCCATCAATGATCATGAGATGCTTTAGAAGCAGGAGATTCCAGACCCATGATTTCCTCAACATGGAGAACTCTCCATGTGGGAACTCCCTCTGCAGAATCAATCAGCAAAGAACCTATAAATTATAGTTGAGTCATCTGGGGGCACTGAAAGATTAAGTGATATACCTACAGTCATAGCCCTACTATTCTTGGAAGAAAAGGATTGAAACCAGGTACTCTTGACTTCAAGGACAACCCTGTATATACTATACCATGCTATTACACACATACACACATTTTTTTTAAGATATAAAACAAGAAATGGCCAAAGGAGATGTACAAGGAGAATACATTCCATCCACATCAACAAACACTTGCTAAGCACCTACTATGTGCCAAGTCTTATGAGGAATGTGGAGATTAGTAAGACAGATTCCTTCCCTTAAGGAGATCCCAATCTAAAGAAGTCGATTTGTGATCCAGTATCTTTTCGCCGGAAATTTCTAAGTTGACATTTTGCTCTCTGGAGTCACAATCCAAAAAGTACCTGATTTCACAGCATTATTTCTCCTAGTGCGGGGACAAAGATTTAAAATCCATTAAAAATTACAGATAATGCTCATGCAACTGGCCCATGACTATCCAGATTTTCTTTTATTCTGAACTTCAGAAATAAAGCAGGCATTTCCATAACACAGTAGAATCAGAGAAAAAAAAGAGATGATTGCACATGAAACTGCAAAACTGTTAAGTACAACTTGCTATTTCTTTTAAATATATATATTAAAGTTATCATGTAACTCTGTTTTTTTCCCTTTTTTCTTCCCTCCCCCCCCACCCTAGAGATGGCTATTGTTAGACACAAATATGTGTGTGTAAATGTGTGTCAGTGTCTATGTAAAATCTTTCTATACATACTTCTATGTATCAATTCTTTTTCTGGATGCAGATACCATCTTCCACATGACATAAATATAATGAGAGATATTATAAAAAAAATTTCATAAACATGGAACATACTACCTATCAGACTATCCAGACTGAGGGCATTTTAAATTGGTACAAGGTTGGCTACCGTAGCTATACAAGAAGTCAAATGATGAGTCTTTATTCCCTAAACAAAGGACATAAATCAGATGAATCCTCCCCTCTGTGTTGTTCCTCCATCTGACTTCTGATAAGCGGTTTTCCTGATCCCAGTGGACATTTAATCTAAATATGATGTTGGCCAGAAGATCCCAGTTTTGTTTCTGAGCCCCGCTCTTAGTTTTGCCTTAGTAATGTTCTCCCAACTTAGACATGTACTTTGGAGAGCTCCTCCCTTCTATCACTGGCTTCCTCTCCAGCACCTCAAAGAATCATTTCTTCCGAGAAGCCTAGACATAGCACCAACTACACGTAGCATTTGAGAAAAGGTATTTAAGTCTTAGGGCAGTTTTCAAATACCTTGAACACAAATGAACACATTCAAATAAATATACTTCCTCCTGGGTTGCAAGGATATGTGATTATCTTGGTGTGGGGGTACCCTCTATCAAAATAGACTGCCTTTCTTCCATTCTGCAGTAGACTTTCATAAGTTGTTACTTTTTAAAAATTTGATACCAGATGGAGGGTTGCTGAGGCTCATTCTGAATGTGGACTTGTTGTCAATTGACAGATGTAGCTTTATCCAAATCCTTTCCACTTGGAGAAGCAATGAGGTACCAAAAGGGAAAAATGCAGACTCTGGAATCAGAAGGCCCATGTTCAAATCTTGCCTATGAAACTGTGTGACCTTGGGTGAATCTCATAAACTCTCTGGGCCTTATCTTCTTCATCTGTAAAATGAGGGTAACTGGATGACCTCTGAGGTCCCTTCCAGATCC